GTACCTGTCCCCTGTCCCCTGTCCCCGTGGGAGTTTGGTCCCGTCCCTGCGCTCACCTGTTTCCCTCGCTGCAGATCTGCACTAAAGACTCTGCACCGTCACCCAGGAACTTCTCTGCGAGCGTCACTACTTCCTGTTCTCTCTTATCTCCTGTGGTTTTTGTCGACTCGTGCAAAAAAAAAAAGAGTAAATATTGAAAGATCAGAGCCGGAGTGAGCGGAGCTGCGCTGGACGTCGCTCAAAACACGTTCAAAATACTAATAAAATCAACACGTCAGCAGAAGTTTGTGTGTTTAAAGACGTTTGTGTTTGGAAGATCATTTTATTTCATCAGATTTTGAATTTTAACTCTGAAAAAAACATGTTTGAATTATTTTTATTCTGAATTTTAGTTGCTGAAATATTAAGAGAACATTTTCAAAGTGTCTAAAATTATTATTATTATTTTTTTTAATATTCAGCACAAATATTTTCAAGCCCTGAAATTCAAACGTATAAAATTTGCATCTTGGATTTTGCTGCCAGATTTTACACTCTGAATTTCGACTGTTGAATTTGAAGTTTTGAAAATATTTGTATTTAAAAGGTGACTTTTTTATTCTGGATGTGAAACATTGAAAAAGTTCACTTAAAATTTCAACAACTCAAATTGAGAATAAAAATAATTCAAACAGTGTTAAAAAATGCAAAATGAGAAATTCTGCGGTAAATTTTAAATGGAAAATATGAAAGATAATTTGTTTGATCAGATTTAGAATTTTAGATGCCGTTGAATTTCTCACTTTGAATTTTTTAACTCTGAAAAAACATGTTTGAATTATTTTTATTTGCTGAAATTCAAAGTGTGTAAATATTTTCAAGTTCAAATTCAACAGTCAAAATTCAGAGTGTAAAATTCGCAGAGAAAAAAATTCGCAGCAAAGATCCAAGATGCCGAAGCAGAAGCATCGATCCAAAGTGATCCGATCCAATTTAGTAACAAACAGAAAATGTTGCAGTGGAGCGATCTGATTGGTCAGAATTCACCTCATTCAAACCTCAAACCCCGCCCACTGATCGATTACTTCCTCGGCAACTTGAATCTTCGTTGTCAAATTTTTCACAGCGAATTTTACACTCTGAATTTTGAGTTGAATTTGAGGGTTTGAAATTTAAAAGGTGAATTTTTTTATTTTGAATTTGAAACATATTGAAAAAGTTCACTTATTTCAGCACCAATATTTAAAATAAAAATAATTCAGTCGTCTTTTTTCAGAGTTAAAAAAAATCCAAAGTGAGAAATTCAGAGGTATTTAAGATTCAAAATCTGATAGAACTAATTATCTTCCACAGAAAAAACATTAACTGGAAGTTCCGCAAACCTACAGAGCGACACTTCCGGCTATTGTGAAAAGGTCGAGCTCCTTCCGCCCGTCTGACGTCTGTAACGATCACGGAGAGTTTGGACCAATCAGTCTGACAAAGACACTTTAGGAGCCACAAGGATTTAAACTTTTTTTTTTTTTTTTAAGTCAGTTCCTGAGGGATCCCAGTCACCTCTGACATGGCCCCAATTGGAGCCCAGCGCAGCCATCCAGACCTGCTGCGTCTCATGACCATTTAATTTATACGAGTCTCAGAGAGCCTCCATTTCAACACAGAACTGATTTACATCGTCTTTGTAAGGAGTAATGCCTCTACGGCCTTTACATCCTCAGCTGTCCAAGTTCTGTATACAAATATAATCTCACTTTGGTTTTCGTCCCCTGCTCGAGGGTTTGCCACAGCTATCATAGGGAAGAGGTCAGTCTTAGTGACCTCTGTCTGGCCTTGCGATGTGGAGGCCTCTGGCTCAGGTGCTGTGGGAAAGTGTTCCTCTAATCCTCCCCCCATTGTTTTGGACCACTGATATCGTGCGGTCGCCGCGCTGCGAGTGGAGACCCCTGCCTGCGTAGATTGAAACGGTTCTAGGTCAGGGTATATTGTGACTGAAGTGTCGGGCCCCCCCGTAGCATAAGGCGGAGGAGGGAATGCAGCGCTTGCAGCAGGACTGTCCTTCACTGGTGTAGCCATATCATGTGGGAGTTGTTGTGGTTGCAGTGGGCGTCTACTAGCAACAACTGTCTCATAATCTTCTTTGTTTTGGAAAAGCATTGTGTCGGCTTTCGATAGAATTTCTTTATTTTCCTGCTTTCTTTTCAGACGTCTCTCTCAGTCTGGCTGCCTCTAACCAATTCTCCAACTCTCTAATGCCATTTTTGCGCATCTTCCTTTCATTATTTTTGGTTCTTTCTTTAATCTGTGCGCGCAGTGCCTCAAGGTCTGACACATTAAGTCGCCCCTCAAAATTGTATTTCGTTATCCATTTATCCAAATATTTAACGTTACTCTTGTCATTATTTTCAAGAACTTTATAATCTTTACACTTTAGCCTATCTCTAGGTCTCCCTGTAGAATGTTTGTTACCCATATTAAAGAATTTGGACCAGTCCTATCACTCCTGGGGAGGTCTCTAAGAACTGGTTTAACTTTTCTTGATTGAGATAGTGATTAAATTATCTTTGTGGTATTTCTCACTTCAACCCGTCAAGGTGGAGAAATCTTGTCTGTACATCCACAAAGACTCACTATTTCCTTTCTCAATCGATTGGTATGAGGACAACAACCTAGTGGTTATTATCTTCCAGTCACACAACCATTCACACTCAGTTTTTATTATTTTCGGTTTTTAAATTTTTATTGATTTTCTTATTTTCTCGGCGCCAACGGAATTTAACCCTGGGAGGACTCCGGCATCCTTCTCATTATCTACGGAATTTAACCCGGGAGGACTCCGCCGTCCTGTATTAACGGACTTTTACTCACTAGCCTGTCAAATTACATCTAGTAGTTGGACTCTGCCGTCCTTTCACCTATTAGAGCCTAGGATTTATAGGGTTTCTCTACGCGCAATGACCCCCAGTCACTCGCTTTTTAACAAAAGTCCTACTCACAGTCTGTTGCCTTGTCTCCCTCGGTTCCCGTCAACCGTCAGACTCCAACCGGCGAGAAGATAACCAGCCCGGAAAGGGTATGTCACCTCGTAGCAGAGGGCCGTGGCCACGGTCTTTCTGGATTCTTAACGTCCGCTGGAGTCCTCAGGTGTGTTGGGCACCGGCTCACGAAAGACCAAGTAAATGTTAGGTTTATCTAGACATTTAAAACAAGAAGAAAGACAAGAGATTAATTCAGTTTTACTCATGAGGAGAACGGGCAGAGAGTGGGCATCAGACCAACAGTCTCCACACGTTCTGATGACTCAAGGCTGTTCTCCTCTTTTTATTTCATTAGGAGGCCCTAGTTACAGAATGATAATTCTCAAGGGGAAGGGGAAACCAGCAAAGACATAATAAGAAACTGATGCAGCTAAGCATAGTACAAACACATAAAACATGATTAACAATCAGGAGGTGCCTTAGGTCAGACACCATCATAACTCTTCATGTGTGACAGTGGGAGTTGGCTTCATGTGAGGAATCATCTGGAGGTTCACTAGAGCGACAGGACACTGCACACAGTTGTCAAACACACAGAGGTTATTCATTTTCATACAAGTGATTGGTACATTATAAATCAAAGAATTGTAGTTACATAAATGGTTAACTCATAGGCCTAGAATATCACACAAGTATTTAGCAAATATGGGATAATAAAATTATTCTGACATTTATGTTGTGAAAATAGAAAAGAATCCCACAAAATCCAACCTTTGGGACCGACGTTAGACCAGACGTTGACATTTAAGAAACACATTAAGGGTTACCGCGCCGCACAAAAACTGTTCATTTTAACTTCAATACAAATGTTTTTACTCCATGACTGTGTCTCATGTAGATGATTGACAGTGTTGGGAAGTTTACTTTTAAAATGTAATCCCCTACAGATTACAGATTACACACACCAAGAATGTAGTTTGTAACAGAATCCATTAAATTACTTAAAGTGAGTAATGTAATCTGATTACTTTGGATTACTTGATTTGTTGTAGAGAAACAAAGACGAGGAAATCTTCACATAAGAAGTTTTGTCTGATTAAAGAAAATAAAAAGTCCAAACTTTACTGAACCAAATAAAAAATATTATTGATAGAAGAAGAAGAAACACGTCCACACAGCAGGATTTAGTCCTGTTAAATCCTGGTTTAGTCCTGGTTTAATCCTGGTTTAGTCCTGGTTTCAACTTGGTTTTAGTCCTTGTTTAGTCCTGGTTTAGTCCTGGTTCAATCCTGGTTTAGTCCTGGTTTAGACCTGGTTTCAACTTGGTTTTAGTCCTTGTTTAGTCCTGGTTTAGTCCTGGTTCAATCCTGGTTTAGTCCTGGTTTAGACCTGGTTTCAACTTGGTTTTAGTCCTGGTTTAGTCCTGGTTTAGTCCTGGTTTAGTCCTGGTTTAGTCCTGGTTTAGTCCTGGTTTAGTCCTGGTTTAGTCCTGGTTCAGTCCTGGTTTAGTCCTGGTTTCAACTTGGTTTTAGTCCTTGTTTAGTCCTGGTTCAGTCCTGGTTTAGACCTGGTTTAGTCCTGGTTTAGTCCTGGTTTAGTCCTGGTTTAGTCCTGGTTCAGTCCTGGTTTAGACCTGGTTTAGTCCTGGTTTAGTCCTGGTTTAGTCCTGGTTTAGACCTGGTTTAGTCCTGGTTTAGTCCTGGTTTTAGACCTGGTTTAGTCCTGGTTTAGTCCTGGTTTAGACCTGGTTTAGTCCTGGTTTAGACCTGGTTTAAGATTTAGTGTGATTTAGTTTCTGGTGAGTGGAATAACCGAGAAAAAAAGAAAAGAAAAGGGATTTAGCCCAAAATGTGAAAACAGTAAAATCCCTCTGTGTAATCCATTTATTTCAACAAAGTAACTGTAATCCAATTACCACTCACTGAAACAGTAACTGTAACTGAATACAGTTACTCATCATTTGTACTCTGATTACTCTGGTACATGTAATCTGATTGCAGAATCACACGGTCACTCGCTGCTGGAACAAAACTCAAACCCGTTGAATCAGTTTTTAGTCAGAACATTTTTATTGAGCCAAAAACAGCACAAGTCAAACTGTACAGGATCAACAGCGTCAATACTTTTTGGTAAATAAAAGTTGAAATAAAAATAAATCTCACAAACCTGAGAACAAACATAAAAACAGCCAGTGGAGGTACAGATATCTGTGCATTTGGAAATGTTACTCACGTAGATACAGACTCTAAAAAATCAATAAGAGGCTGCAACACTTTCTTAAATGACTGAAGTTTATCGTTTTCTCTCTAGATGTAAAATGTGAACAAGATCTCGTAGCCACATTTTAGAGCTCGGTTCTCATGACATGAAGAGTAATTTCTTAGCAATTGTTGAATCAGTTTTTTAAAAAGTTGTAAAAATACTGGATAAGAAACTGCTCTCATTTCACCACTGCACTGTTTTACACAAGTACAACCTGCTTCATTTTAATCATTTTGTTGATGATTTTAAATGGACGTTTTACATATAACTGTGTTTGATTCTCTAAGGTTTGATAAAAACATCATCAAACGAGGACAGCGGTGGGTTCACTTGATGCAGAAGCTCAGCTCTTTTAATGTGTCGTCCAACATTTTAAATCATTTTTATCCTTCTTTTATCGAAGGTTTGCTGATCTTTTCTTTTCTCTGTTGGTTTTATGGATGATCTGTGAAGGACAAGAAGAGTCTGAACCAGATTGTAAAAGTTTGCAGCAAAATCAGCAGTGTTCAGACGGAGGATTTGGCGTCTGTGTGGAGACATCAGGTGTTACAAAAGACTAAAGCCAAACTGAGTCTAACCATGTCCTGCACTCACAGTTCATGAAAATGCCTCTGGGAGGCGCTACGTCTCCCCACAGCAAAAGACTAACCACTACTCCAAATCTTTTATTCCTTCTGCCGTAAGGATTTTAAATGGAAAGTGAATTTGTTCCTGTGTCTCTGATGCTGAGTTTTTTTTCTAGATTGTGCCTGACCAGAGATGTATGAACTGAATTGCCCTTTGGGATTAATAAAATTGTTGATTGATTGATTGATTAAGTTTTGTCTGGCCCTACATTACAGGATTTTATTAAAGGGACAGTTCAGAGTTTTGGACACAGAACCTCATTTCCTCGTGGTCCACAGTGTTGGAGACGTGTGGAGACACTTTTTAAAATAATCCATCCAGTCCTTGTATTTGCAGACGTCACTGGTTCAATGGTCATAATTTTCCTGCCACTGAAAACAGTCTGACCCACTCCACAAAACACCTGAAACAATCTATTATTACACCAGACTGTTTATGTCAACGTCTGTGTCCATAGAATCATTTTAGAAGTAAAACCAACGTTGCATTTGAAGGATTTATGTCTGAGCAGCAGCGACTTCCTCCTGATAGACTCAGCAGCACATGAAGAAGTCTGTTCCAGATACGACCACGTTCACAATTTAGGGATGGGCATGATTAATCGATAATTGATCATTAAGAATTTTATTGATTATGTTCATTTTAATGGACAAACTGAATGTATGTTTGTGTGTCGTGACCAAACAGGTGTGTACATGTGTCTCTGCATCAGAAGGAGCGACACACAAACAGTGGGTCAGTCTGTAACGAACCGAAGCACAAATGTGGATTTAACCAGGATTTGTAGAAGAAATTCCACACTTTCCGTTGCGTTGGGACAAGTGTGAGTCCATGTGCACAGTGGATAAAGCAGCACATATGTTTCTGTGTCCAGTGGGAAAAAGTTTTTCCAGGTGAGAGTCGCTCAATGTGGATGACGAGGCCCCGCCCCCCTCCCCCCGTACGCTGTCCTGGTTTTGACAAACACAAATCTGGTCACACTGACCTGTATTCACCTGAGTCATGTCTTTTAATCCAACACAAGTTGAACCACATCAGCGACACAAGAGCTGGAGTTTTATCTTCACTTAGTTTATGTAAATTAGTGATGTGGTTTTAAGTTTTGTTTCTGTGAGATTTGAACAAAACTGAATTAAACACATTATAATGTCAAACAGCTGATGTGGATCTAGAGTCGTTATGTTTATATGTCGTAAAGTTGAGTTTATTTATGCAGATTAGTGCAGATAGTAATAATAATGATGATCATTTTAATATAAAAACGTTAATGATTAATCGATAATCGATCGTTAATTCTTCCGACGATCGATTAAGAAAATTTCACCGAATGCCCGTCACTAATTCACATCATCACAACAAACTAGAGCAGAGGAAAACTCCGCTGCTGCTGAGAAAATAGTCCCTTAATATGTGACGATTCATGAGATACAAGGTTGGTTTTACTTCAAACATTATTCTGTGGACACAGACGTTCACATAAACAGTCTGGTGTAAGAACAGATTTTCTTCGGGTGTTTTGTGGAGTGGATAAGACAGGGGTCTCAAACTCAAATGACCTGGGGGCCACATTAGATAAAGTCTGAGTGAGGCTGGGCCGCATTGATATTCGATAAATAGCGGTTGCACGAAAAAAAACGCCGTATGTGCACGTGTACTCGTATTAACAGATCCACTTAGACTCGTTGCTTCACAACTGCTGTAAGTTGAGTTTTGGGATGTAAACTGCGTTAAAGGTTGTATGAAGGATTTTTTTTTGTTTCAAACTGTCAGTGAAAGATTAAAATACCATTACAGAGACGCAGCAGCTTTGTAATTATGACGACCAAAAAAAAAAGAATGAAAATCTATCAACTGTGGACGTGTTGAGGCCAGATAAACGTCAGCCAATAGAAAACGAGGCTCCCTCATTTTCTATTGGCTGTTAGGTTGTCAATCAAACTCCCTAGTATAACTGACTCGTCGCAGCGCGGGGATTACGTGGTTTACGCAGTGGTTCTTAGAGGCTTTTTCGAACTGTCGCTTCCTCGCATTTCGCACAAAGTTTGTCGCGACGGCGGACGAGAATCCACGACCGGTTCGCCGCAAAAGAAAGTCCGTTTTTGAGGTCGCTGAAAGAAGAAGAGAAGTGGAAAAGGAGCAAAGACAAACTGAGGTGATTCTTGGAGATCTCGTCCAGCGATGGCGCGACCGAAGCAGACGAAGGGTCTAAAAACTGACACGTCGGTCGCTGAATTACTTCTAGACAGGAAACTTCAACAGTGATTCTGAACGCGCACAAGGACTGTCACTGTATTTCTCTTCCCTTAAAAAATCCTCTATTCAACCTTTAATAATCTGTTGCTGTGAATCTGCACGGGCACCGACTGAGGCTTCATCTGTCAGTGTGGCCCGCGGTGGGGGGTGAGATTGTGCGTACATCTACCGCACTGACATTATTCTTTGGAATTAAGTGGAGGGCCGCAAAAAATCCTTCCGAGGGCCGCAGTTGGCCCCCGGGCCGCGAGTCTGAGACCCCTGCACTAGTCTAACACCGGCGACCTCCGCAGATACAAGAACTGGATGGATTATTTTAAAAAGTGTCTCCACACGTCTCACAAAATTCCAAACTGTCCCTTTAAAGTAAAACACCGTCAGTGGGACGAGAACTGAGCTCCACACGGACGACGTGTCTCAGTCAGACGCTCTCAATCCTGGCACATTCTCCCATTTTCAGTAAGAGAAACTCCAACACTGGACACTTTCACATCCCACTGGAGACGGGCTAAAGGAAAAACACACCTGTGGACACTTTTAGTTTAGAAATGTCACTTGTCGCTTGTTGTTTTTCTGTTAAATTTGTGGTGTTTCCTGCCGAGGGACATGAACATTTTTGTTATAATCTGTCACATTTACACTTCAGTGACGTAGATGTTCATTAAAATGCACTGTCCCTGTTCAAGAAAGAAAGAAAGAAAGAAAAATGTGAAAGTTGTCGATGTCCTGTCAGAACACGGACAGTTTGAATTCCCCAAAAATGAATTGTCACTCGTCGGTCTGGAGTCGGGGCAGAGGGGGAGGGGCTTATCCAGTTTTTTTTTACTGTAGATCCGTGCTTCATCACTGCAGTCGCCTCCTCTTCCCTCGCCCTTTTCCCGGCTCCTTGCTCCTCCCTTTTTCTGTTTTTTTGCCCCTCCCACTCTCTAGTTCTTTGCCCCTCCCTTTTCCCGGTTCCTTGGCCCCTCCCTGCTTCGGCGTTCCCTTCGGCGTTCCCCTTCGGCGTTCCCTTCGGCGTTCCCTTCGGCGTTCCCTTCGGCGTTCCCTTCGGCGTTCCCTTCGGCGTTCCCTTCGGCGTTCCCGTCTGCGCGCCCGCTCCGTAGATCTTCCTGGGGTCGCAGTCCAGGTTGTGGGCGCCCTTCTTGTGGCAGGCGACGTGCACCAGTTTGAGGTTGTGGCGGGTGAAGAGGAGCTGGTAGAAATAGTCGGCGTTGACGGACGAGCTCGGGCGATTCTCGTGGCACCGGATCAACGCCGGGACGACACTGCGCTTCTTCTCAATCCTGTGAAGCCACAGAGGATTTATGTCAGAGCAGCTTTAAATGATAATTATAAAATGTACGGGAGAACAGAGAACAGAGAGAACATGAGAGAACAAGAGAACATGAGAGAACAGAGAACAGGAGAGAACAGAGAACAGGAGAGAACAGGAGAGAACATGAGAGAACATGAGAGAACAAGAGAACAGGAGAGAACAAGAGAAACATGCAAACATGAGCAGTGTGAGCTCGACCTGTGGTCCAGGTTCCAGGTGCTGAAGAGAACTCTGCTCTCTCTGCTGCTGTACGGGTTTATGGAGTGAAGAGAACGACACAAGGCCTCGTCGAAAGAACCCTGGAACAAAACAGAACAGAACAGAACAGAACACAGTGAGGAGGAGACACGAGCCCTGAACAAAACACAGAACAGAACAGAGACACAGAAGGTGTTTTCAGGCCGACAGAGAATCGTGCTGGTGCCGGGTCCTGCACCTAATCTTAAACCGACTCACACGTTCACGCCGGAAATCAGAGCCTTCAGGAATGGAAAAGTTGGTTCTCAATGGGACCAAGTAAAACTTGTTTTTTTCTAAATGAACCGTGACGACACAGAAGACGTCAGCGCGTTCATCCAGGTCACACACGGAAAATAAACAAACAAAGAACAACTGAAACTATCACGTATGAAATTAAAAGTTTTAAGTTTACAGAAACTCTTCTGTCCTGTTGGTCTCACATGTGTCCTTGTTCTCCTGATAAGATTCCATCTTTGGATTGGGCGTCGCTGTCGTCGTCTCCACAGCAGATCCATGTTGTGTCAGAGCTCAGCACATAAATAATGACATGTACAAAAAGTACAAACTCTCGCTGGTGTTGATGATGTGATCCATGATTGTTACGGTTTTCGTTTGACCTTGTTTTTATTTGGTGGTAAATCCACTCCCTCTGTCGATGACGCGTCATGGGTTCACGCAAATGGTTTGAACTTGGGTCGTTCACGGGTGAAAACTTTGTTTCCCAGTGAAACTGGTGCAGGAACCGACACCAGCACCTGAAAACAGCTCGAGAAGAACAGAACAGAACAGAACAGAGGAAGGAGACACAGGCCTGTGCTTCTGTAAAGGAAGTGACCTGGTGTTTGATTCCTCTTGTGATTCCTCTTAGTTGGGCTCATGTTTTTTGTTGTGTGGCGCCCTCTTGTGGTGACATGAGTGAAGTGGCCCTGGCACAGTGAGCGTGGTGCCAGTTCATGAGAGACGGGCACGATCTGAGTCACTGACTGTAGCTCTGTCGTTAAACATGGTGTATTTGTGTTTAATTATCCTTTATCTGATCACTGACTAATTATAAACTCTATTTATGTGATTTATGAGGTTTATGAGCTCATATGTTTGTGTCATAAACCTTTTTCACAACAGCAGGAAGTGCCCCACTTTAGATTTGTGGTACATCCTGTTAGTGGTTTTCTGTGTCAAAATGTGTGTAAATGTGTGTAAATGTGTGTAAATGTGTGTAAATGTGTGTAAATGTGTGTAAATGTCTTCATGAAGCCAAATCTTCAACCAACAAACTCCACAAAGAATAAACATTCTTCATGAACAATTTATCCACAACGATCAAGAGAAGAAAGAACAAAACTTAAAGGAAACAATGAGCCACATTAGTCACACACTCAAGACAGGTGAAGCGTGTGTGACAGGGGCTGTAGCGTGGTACCTGACAGGTGAACCATCCCTCTCTGGTGCACAGTCGGTTCTTCTCCTCCTCGGTGCGGTCGAAGTACGCTCCGTTGTACTGATCGTCCTTCAGCTTCTGGCTCAGAGTCTGAAGAGTTTTCTCAAACTCTGATCTGGTCTTTGTCTTCTCGATGGACCTGGAGGCTTCGCTCACCTGCACCAGAGACACCACAGGACAAACATCTGAGAAACACCTGAGGAACACCTGAGAAACACCTGAGAAACATCTGAGAAACATCTGAGAAACACCTGAGAAACACCTGAGAAACATCTGAGAAACACCTGAGAAACATCTGAGAAACATCTGAGAAACACCTGAGAAACATCTGAGAAACATCTGAGAAACACCTGAGGAACACCTGAGAAACATCTGAGAAACACCTGAGAAACATCTGAGAAACATCTGAGGAACACCTGAGAAACACCTGAGAAACATCTGAGGAACACCTGAGAAACACCTGAGAAACATCTGAGAAACATCTGAGAAACATCTGAGGAACACCTGAGAAACACCTGAGAAACACCTGAGGAACACCTGAGGAACACCTGAGAAACATCTGAGAAACACCTGAGAAACACCTGAGGAACATCTGAGGAACACCTGAGAAACACCTGAGAAACATCTGAGAAACACCTGAGAAACATCTGAGGAACACCTGAGAAACACCTGAGAAACACCTGAGAAACACCTGAGAAACACCTGAGAAACACCTGAGAAACACCTGAGAAACACCTGAGGAACACCTGAGAAACACCTGAGAAACACCTGAGAAACACCTGAGAAACACCTGAGAAACATCTCACAGACGTTGACAAAAATAATGAATAAATGAACAATGGATTTATTTAGTAATGAGAACTACAGGCGGGTGAGTGTGGGCACAGACGAGTGAGTGTGGGCGCACAGGCGGGTGAGTGTGGGCACAGGCGGGTGAGTGTGGGCGCACAGGCGGGTGAGTGTGGGCGCACAGGCGGGTGAGTGTGGGCACAGATGAGGTGAGTGAGTGTGGGCACAGGCGGGTGAGTGTGGGCACAGATGGGTGAGTGTGGGCACAGGCGGCGGGTGAGTGTGGGGCACAGGCGGGTGAGTGTGGGCACAGGCGGGTGAGTGTGGGCACAGGCGGGTGAGTGTGGGCACAGATGGGTGAGTGTGGGCACAGGCGGGTGAGTGTGGGCACAGGCGGGTGAGTGTGGCACAGGCGGTGAGTGTGGGGCACAGGCGGGTGAGTGTGGGCACAGATGGGTGAGTGTGGGCACAGGCGGGTGAGTGAGTGTGGGCACAGGCGGGTGAGTGTGGGGGCACAGATGGGTGAGTGTGTGGGCACAGGCGGGTGAGTGTGGGGGCACAGATGGGTGAGTGTGGGGGCACAGATGGGTGAGTGTGGGCACAGATGGGTGAGTGTGGGGGC